CCCCCCCCCCCCCCCCACACACACACACACACAAAACATATTCTCAGAAAAAGAAAATAGGTATGAGAAATGGGTTCAATCAGAGGCACAAAACACGAACTGGGTCATTCGGAAAACCAAGAAAACTCGGAAAAGAAGCATTTTTTTAGTGGAAAAAGGTCATTTTTTATTGGTTTCTCTGGTGGATAATGAAGTACGTACCTGTGGCCGTTGTGGAAAGGGGAAAAGAAGGGGCGAAGGTGAGCAGTTCTGGAGCTGCGATGGAAGGAGAAAATGGGAATGTGACCAAGTCTGTGCGTCATAGAATGATCCGAGTGTGCAGTAGAGGCTGTTTTAGCTGAGCAGATTGCTTTCGGAGTACTCTATTTTTTTGGGATATGCTGGGTGTACTCAAAATGTATACCACCTAGGGGTGGGCAATCGGGTCCAGGAACAGCGAGTCGGAACCGGACCACTAGGTTTGGTCCGGGTTAGGGTCGGGTCCTCTTTTCAAAAATTTCAAATGGTCCGGGTCGGTCCGGTCCTTACAAATTTTAGGATCAGTCCGGTTCCTCATTTTGAAATTGTATTGGACCCGGATCAGACCGTTTTTTTAAATCCCAATATTATATTTAATATTATTTTTAGTAAATATACGGATATATGGAAATATACCCGCATAAGGCCTTCAATCTTTTGGTCCTTCCAATCACACGCAGAAAAGTAAGAAAATCTTTCATAGTAAGAGAGTCGGAACCCATGAAGATTGTGAATTTTGTTCTTCTTGGAACCCATTGACATTATAATGCCAAAATATGGTTGTCTTCTTTTTTATTATTGTTGTTGGATGATCATGGGGTGTACACTTTACTCTCATGCCCCTCTTTGTCATTGTTTTATTTTCATTTACGCCTCTTTTTTTTATGTTGGATGACTTAAATTAATTTATTATCCCTTTATTTTTTTAATACTAGTATCATGATAGGTTCGGACCCATTGACCCGTGGAATCGACCCGTTTCAAACAAGCCGGGTTAGGTCCGGTTTCAATTTTAAAATTTTGAAAACCCGTTCCGGCCCGGACCGTTTTAAAAATACAAGTCGAGTCTGGTTTATACAAATCTTGGCTCGGACCGGCCCGTGCCCACCCCTAACACCACCCTCTCTTTATCAATTATTTTATTTTATTTTATTTTTTTATTTCTTTTTGAATTTTTCTTGCCTTTTTTTGTGGTGATGGAGGGGGTGGGGGATATTTGAGGTACACTTTTGGTGTACCCCTAGCATTTTCCTATTTTTTTACTCTCCCATCATAGTTCACTATTCAAAAACACAGAAAATGTTTTTGTTTATCTATACATTTTCATCAAATTTGATAAAATAAAATAATCTTTTCACATTTTATTTTGAAGAACTTTTGATTTAATTTTTAATAATGTAAATTTTATTTTTTATTTTATACAAATCTATAAATAAATAAATTGAAAAAAATTAAAATTTCCCTTCACTTTACGTAACCTGACAAACATTTTGGATGGAGAGAGTATAAAAGTGTGCCCAAAATTAATCAGAAAATTTACTCAAAGCTCTAAATGAATATGTGCTCTCCAAACAAGGCATGTTATTTTTACTAGGCATGTATATATCTGGAAAACGTGCATGTTTCATTATTTGTCACAAATCTGCAATCAAAATTTAATTTGACTTCTTTTAGTGACTGTCCGATCAAGTATGAGGAAACCCTTAAAAATGGGGATTGTCGTTTTTTGTTTTGCCTCATAATGTGATGCACTCCTTTATCAGTCACTCACGTGACGCACTCCTCATTTTTAAATGTTTAGTACTTTGATTAAAAATAATTACAATGAGATGTAATACATATCAAATTATTTCAGGTATTAGAAGTGAAATGATTTAAATTAATAAATTGATAGGAGGTTGTGAAAAATTCTAAACCAACTAAACATTACCATATCTTTATATGATTGGTCCAGTGTATCTCAAACAATCACTCTTAGGAATGGATTACATCTTCCGGCCACTTCGGAATCATGTGATATGTTGTTGAATGTGCACTTCATATACTATGTCTTCATCATGCTATTAAGTTTTGTAACCTTTTCACTCAAATCTTTGCTTCGAAATCTCTTATTTGTATTTTAATAATACAATATTGTTCGTATACATTCATAACCTTATACCTTAATATAATACGGAGTATAAAGATTTTGTCTTTATAATTGAGTCTCATCCACGAGCACCCTAGTAATTTATCATCATCACACCTATTATAGAGTTTATCAACAAAAAAACACAAACAACATTGCCAAAAAACATAGAAGCACAACTTCATAAGATGTTCTTTTAGTTGGTTTTGATACATTGGCATGATATATGACAACCAATCCCAACTCCACATGATATGTTTGTTTTTATGCACCTAATGCACAAATCTATAACCCAACTCAACTTTTATTCTCCTACGATTACATTTAAGCGAGATCCGCATATACTATATATATATCAAATACTCAATCTTAATCGTCCGATTCAAAAGAGGACAATCGCAATCCAACAAGTAACAAAGTGTGATCGTCGTTACTTGTCAAACCACAATTGCCCTATTTGAATAGAGCGAGTTAGATTGAGAAGAACCAATCCATTCAAGAACAGAAAGGGCAGACAATCAATCCATTCTCATTGCACTCCGGGCATTTCGTCCACTCACCATGATCATCACCATCATTGTGATCAAGATGAAGTCTTTTGCTCCCACTGCACCTGAAACACAAGATGAACCTCATCCCAACACACCCACCACAGGGTTCTTGAAGATCATCAAGAGGAATGCCTTCAAGAAGAGGCTTAAGCTTCCCTTGTTCATGTAAGGCAAACACTTGTTCAGCTCCTCCAATGTACCTCCCTCTTATGAACAGCCTTGGTGGAAGCACCTTTTGTCCTAATAATTCCCACAATTCCTCCTTGAACTCCGAATGTATCGAGATGTCTCTCTCGAAGAACAAAACCTGAAAATCTTTTAGAAGAGATGTCATGTTTTGGCAGTCCTCATATGTCTTTGGAATCCCTCTCAGCCCTGTTGTGTATAGAATCACTGAATCACTTCCTCCTGGTGGACACTTCTCTTCAAAATCTGAAAAAGGATTTGTTTTTTCCATTATTCTCCTAGCTTTCGCTGGAGGTTCTTGCTGATCATCTTCATCATCATCTTCAATTGAATCAATCTCAGAGAAGGGGGCAATTCTTGAATTGAAAATTCTCAAAGATTCAATCTTTGGATTCGTTGGGCTGAAATTCTTCGAAATTTTTGCCTCAAGGACGGGTATGAGGTTCTCTTTGTCATCTACCTCATCAAGGAACTCCATTTCTTCATCTTCAAGATCCTTCATCAGCTCTGAAACTTCTATGATTTCTGGCACTTGATCTCGGACAGGGGTAAATCTGGGTTCTTCTTCTTGTTGTTGAGCAGAAATGGTGGCTGACGGAAAGTGGGGTTGGGTCGCCGGCGGAGGCGGCGGCGGAGGACGAGGAAGAGGAGGCGATTCCGGAATGTACCCATCGGAAGCCTTCAAACGCAGGACTCTTTCTTGCTTACAATGTCTCATTGTTTTGATTTTCTTGAGCAGCTTCACCTTCACTGATCTCATTTTCTCTTGGGGTTAATCAAGAAACATGAGAATCTTGGTTTTCTAGAGAGAGAGAGAGAGAGAGAGAGAGAGAGATTAAATGAGGAATAGAATGGTGGTGCAGGGAAGAGGGAAGTGAGGGGTACAAGTAACGGCTATAAAAACATGTTTCATGTTTATGTTGAAAAGTTTGTTTTAAATTTTGAAAAAGGATTGGGTTACTTTGATGTTAAATTTTTGATTTGTCAAAATGAAGAATAAAGACAAGAAATACAAAAGTAAATGGTGTTGTAATATGAAATGGAATGAACTCGACTAAGCGCGGGCGCAAGACTGATTAAAGATTGAATTTAATTTTTTTACGAAATATTATTTAAAAAAATGAGCACGATTTAGCATTCATAAACAAGAAGAGGTTAAAAAATTGACTTACTTTCTACTTGGCAACATAAAAATCATTTGTCGTGTATAGAGACACGGTATACTGGTCTAGTCCAAATTTAGAAATTTCTACTTCACACTTTCTGATAGGGTAGAGCTATGACTTGTACTGATACGGGGGGGGGGGGGGGGGGGGGG